GCTAAATGTTATATTAGCATAAAGTGTTAAAAGAAAGACTTCGGTGTGTTTATACCTTTTTGTTTGACACAAATGTAAGGTTTCAGTTTTGAGGACTCGCTGTCTGTAAATCTCACTGATGTGTGCGTTTTGCTTCTAATACATTTGAATGTTGTGTAACTGCATGGTTTCTACTTGATGGCTCAGATTTGTTTGTGTAGCTGCAAGCATGTCAGGAATTTGCTTTCACTTTCCCTGCAGGAGGTAGGCTTGTTGTGTGAAAGTATGCCTGTCACCTGCACCTTCTTTAAGTGAAAACATTTTGAACAGAAGTAAATAAGTGTTGTGTTCAACTCACTGTGTTCCAGGGCCACTTGGTGTACGTATTGAATAAGTAAAATGTGTGTGTCTCAGGTCTTCGCCCTCTCCACTCACCCTTATGGCTGCAGAGTCATTCAGCGCATTCTCGAACACTGCCTTCCTGAACAGACGCTGCCTATACTAGAGGAGCTCCATCAACACACAGAGCAGCTGGTGCAGGTAACACACAATATCACACAAACTAGCAATCACTGTGGTCTTTCTTCTTCCACCAGCTATGTTTTTTTCAGAATGACTCTCGTTGGCTTAAATAAAGCTTATCTCTGTCCAGATTTTTGAAGTTGTCTGCGTGTTTGACGTCAGAGGCACAAGCTGGTGTCCTCACGTTGCAGTAAATGTGTCTGTGTGGTTTGTTTTATTTAGGACCAGTATGGCAACTACGTGATCCAGCATGTTTTGGAGCATGGCCGAGCTGAGGACAAGAGCAAGATAGTTGCTGAGATCAGAGGCAATGTACTGGGACTCAGCCAGCACAAGTTTGCCAGGTAAAAACATGACGTTTCTGTCTTTTCTTCCCTCCTTCTTCAGAAAAGGGTTTTCTTTAGTTTTTTCACAATTGCAGCCAGACTTTTTTTTCCTCTTCCTTCTTTGAAACATGTTGTCACACTCACCTGTCCCTGCCTTTCTCTAGTAATGTGGTGGAGAAGTGTGTGACCCATGCATCACGGGCAGAACGGGCAGTGCTGATAGATGAGGTGTGCAGCCTGACTGAGGGCCCCCATAGTGCCTTATACACCATGATGAAGGACCAGTATGCCAACTACGTGGTGCAGAAGATGATCGATGTGGCCGAGCCCACCCAGCGCAAGATCGTAATGCACAAGGTAGCTGGAAGGAAGAGGGTACTGTATTGACATAATCAGCTTTGGTCAAACACAGTAGAGTAAGGCGCTTTCAGACATGTTCAGACTTGTTTCAGCAGTATATATCAACCTTTTGACTGGGGGGGAATAAATCTCTGGCAACCCATCGACCCACACATTCATTTACCTGCACATCAATAAATGTTAATGAGGTCACTATTGTCACGGGTTCCCTAGGCAATGACACGTAAGCATCATTGGTTTCCAAACAAATAGGTGTTGTGGTTATGCAAAACATCTGCACAAGTGAAGGGGAAACACAAGGGTGTATAGGAAGTGCATACTGTCCATATCCAGTTTGAACATGTGTGTTTTGGTTTCTGTGCAGATCCGGCCCCACATTTCCACCCTGAGGAAGTACACGTATGGAAAACACATCCTGGCCAAGCTGGAGAAGTATTACATGAAGAACGGCGTTGACCTGGGTCCTCTTTGTGGCCCTCCTAATGGCATCATGTAAACCCACCCCCCTCAAGCCTGAAATCATGTCTAGCACATGATCTGCCCCCCTTCACCTCGCCCTCCTAATGCTGTCATGTCTCCCAGCCCCACCCTAAGTCCCTGTCTGACTCTTCGGAAGGCATGGTAGCCACACCACCACCACCACCCCTCCTCCACATCCTACTGACGGAGGATGTAGAGTACCCCTCGCACCCCTGTTTCCATGACAACCCTTTGGGAGGTGCCTGTTGCTAAAGGCGGCCTTAGGGTTGTTTGGGGTTTTTTTGTCGGATTTTGTTGACCCTCCCCCACCCAAGCCCAGGCCTTGTGAACTGGGGGAGGGAGGGAAGGAGGCCAGGCAGTGGAGAAAGGTGAGACCTGTTCCACTCATCGCACCACTCCTTCTTTTTTTTGTTTTTTTGTCCTTCCTTTCATTTCCCCCTTTTCTGATAAAACTCAAAAATAATTTCACTTTTTGCTACTGCTGCACATACAATCCTAGTGTCCCCTCCCTTTCCTCCCTTTCCTCCCTTCCTAGCTATTTACCACTATAAGATGGAACGAGTATTTAATTTGTCTGACGTCACAGAATCATAGACGAACACACGCCATCAGCTAACCAGCAGACAGATCATTTAGCATGGGAGATTCGTTTTCTGGTCTTGCTTCTATAAATATAACGTGTATACTTGGTGTAGACCTTTGCATATATATATATAAATATATATATAAAACTTTGTAGTTTTTCTGGTTTTTGATGTTGAATCTGTATCTATAATGTATCCTAGTAGTGACCACATACTTCTGACTGTATAATTGTACATTTGTAAACCCTTGTAATGTAAAAGTGCTTTACCACCCTTTTTGGTATGAGAAGAAAAAATATTAAAAAAAGCTCACTCTGGGAAAAAAAAATATTAGAAAAAAAAAACCCCTGTGCATTTCAGTGTATATTCTCACCTCCTTGGTTGTGACATATGAGTTGTTGTATATTGTAAATTGTAATATCAAATTTTTGTTTTGAAAAGCCCTTTCTATACAGCGTAGAACTTGTACAAAGATTCGCCACGCTTGGTTTTATCTTTATCTTGTCACTGCTTAACTTAAGACGTCGATCTCCCACTGATTCCCAATTGGACACGTTATGTTAGACTTAGTGCTGTCTTCTGGTTTATGTTGAAGGTTTTGTTTTTTTGACCTTTTTTAAGATCTTTTTATAGGAATGCTTTACCCCCATGAAATATGTCATGTTTATGGGTATGCTGGCTGGGCGGGAGAAATAACCGTTTCTCATTTAAACCCCCTCCCCCACCTAAAAAAATCCTTCAGTTACCCGTGACTGTTTTCAGAGGGGTAAACCCATGGATTGTACAGAGGAGATTTTTGTGTTTTTTGGCATTTCTCTAGTGCTGTAAGTGCTGTATCATACTGTCTGTCCTTTTGGGTGAGAGAGGCAGCCCGCCACAGCGCGGTGTACATTTGGAGCAGCCTTGTGTATATTTACTACGAGCACACCTGTAACCATATGTGTATAGTTAACAGAACCTGTGTATGCTTATTGCCTGGGCAACTATTTTTTGTAACTCCTGTTGTAGATTGTCTCTAAACAATTGTGTGATCTTTATTTTGAAACCAAACTGAACAAAAAAACTTTGAAAATTTAACTGTCTCAAGTGTGCTTCATTGATGCACTCTCACACAGAGTGAACGGACAGAGCAGACAAACTCTTTTTCCTACTTATTTTTAAGTTGCATAGGAAAAAAAAGCAGGATCTGTGCCGTGGTTTCTGTTCCAGCCATCTGAATGAATGTGTCCACAGTGATATGGCTGTGATTACACACCTCATGAGTCAGAGAGGGGCCTGAAGAGCTTGTTCCTGATGCTGTAGTTTTATCATAAATTCTTTAATAAGGCTGGTATCTTGGCGTGGTATCACCCTGACTGATGTTGCTCCCAGTAAGGAATGGCACAGGTTTAAGCAATGGATACAGATAACAGTGCTATTACTGTTCAATAACTACACCTGGATTCATTATCCAGATAATTATTTACATGATTAAAATTAGTTGAGCAATATTGAAAGTGAAGGCTTCCTTTCATCAGTCTAGGCAAAAGTGAAAGTCTGCTGGTATTTGAGGAAAGAACAATACTAAATTCATACAGTACAATACTCTAATAATGACATGATTAATGACCCCAAGGTTTGCAACAAGAGATAATCAGAATACACTGCAGTGGTGAGCCAAAACACACCATCCCTGCATTCATCCAGTTGTGTCTTCTAAGAAAACACCAGGACAAAGTAAACTTGCCCTTACCTGTCAAGCTTTTGTTTGGAGCAGGCTGTGCCTAAGATGAAACGGTTAGGATGTTGCCTTAAACAGGTCAGGTTGGGCATTATGTTGGTGGCAGTAATACCACAGCTTTGTTGATTTCTTAAAGCAGATAATAATAAAACCTGAAGATGTGAGGGAGCATTACCTGCAGTGATTTTTTTAACTACCTGGTAAGTTTAGGCTGCAGTAGGAAACCGGTGTTAGGCCTATAGGCTCTTTTAAGGATTACTGCTAGGTGAAACTAGGCAACTACCCCTGGGCCCTGACCCACAGGGGCCACAGCCCTTATTCACTGTGTGTCAGTTGGCTTGTGGTAATTTGATTAATTGTAAAGTTGTTTTGGAATATACACCCCAGGGGTCCCTGCTTTATTGTATATCCTACTTGTCATGTAGATGTCAAAAAATATGTAGTGCCTAAATAAACCTCTGTCCAGTTTGGTAGTTGATGAGTGGACAGTGAGTAAAGATAATTTTGTCCAACTGCTATTTTTAATGAAGAATAACTTTAAATCTTAAAAAGTGATCGTTGCATGTTAGCTGTTGATTGGCTAACATGTCAATCAATTTAAAGTTATCAGGTGTCAGTTTAGACTTTTCCGATTGTCTTCGAGCACTAACACCTAAACAGTAGGCTACAGTAGCTCATAAATATTAATCATTGTTCTGTGGGCACAGGTGTGAGCTCATTTGGGATTTAAAGAAACCCTGACTAAGCCAATCACAGCGGAGCACCGGGGCAGACCTGTAAAGGTGTGTAATCGTGGCGTTCAGCCAACCAGAGCCACCTGAACAACAACAGGCACAACCTGGAAGCAGCCGTGAATGCCCCGCGGTGCCTCCTGCATATGTGCTGCATGTTTAAAGAATTGTTGGTGCCCAAACGAGCTGCAGGGGGCATCATCGCACTTGCTCGCGGAGATCCCCCACCTCTCTCTTAACACACACACACACACACACAGCGCTCCAGCCAGACTCCCAGGCCAAGTAGCGTCGCCATACGGAACATCCTGCCCTCAACGGAGAGGGGGAGGAGAGAGAGAGAGCCCGAGTGTGTGTGCGCAGAGAGAGGGGGATAGAGAGAGGCTGCGTGTGCATTGAGAAAGAGAGAGAGAGAGAGAGAGAGAGAGACGAGGTCTGGCGTCTCCCGGTAGTAAATCTATCAGGTCTTGAGAAGAAAAACTCGGACAAACAGACGGGGAAGAGAGAGAAGACTCCTCGAGGTAATCCCGTCGTTTACTGGTGTCCTGGACCAGCAGAAGCAGAAGCAGCAGCAGCGCGTGAAGGATTAAAACGCCCGACTGGAAGCACTGGATGGTCGCGCGGACGGGCGGCGCGCTCTGAAGTTGGACAGACTACCAAGACACCGACAGCAAGCAGCAGCAGCGTCTTTTGTCCCCCCAACCTCCCCGAACCCCGTGAAGGCAGCGGCGGCACCGGGAGACTGTGCCCGCGCACCCCGACCATGAAGCTGCCTTGGCTATTGGCGCTCGCGGCGCTGCTTGCTCACGCCGCCAAGGTAAGCACGAGCATCCGATCCTTTGTTAACCGGGGAGCTCTTGTACACACAGGAGCCGGGGCATTTTTTGTGCATGCGTGTATGTGTGAGTGCGGTGCGCTATCTTTAATAAGACAGTGGTGTCGGTGATCGGTAGGAAATCCTGCCCTCGACCTACTTATCAGCCCTTATTGGACGACCGTGACTCCCGCTAGGGGGGCTGGTGACTCTCGTGCCCCCCCCCCCCTTTTACGCACACACCCACAGACACACACACACACACCAGCCTTTGTGTCTCAGTGTCGGGGTTTATTGTGGCCTGTGTCCCCTTCAATCAGGAGATGTGTGCGTGCATGTGTGTGTGTCGGTAATTAGCGGGTAATCTCTAATTGAGCTTGATTACGGGTCTTTGTGCGGTGCCTCGCTATGTGGTGTCTGTTTCACCGGCTCACATCCTGTCGTTAATTTGAGAGGCTCCAGTCATACTGCGGCTTTAACGACTTTATTACCGGGTAGTCGCGCTGTAGGACGTGTGTGTATGTATGGGGGATTGGATGTCCGATCTCCAACCGGTGAGGTGGACGTTCCCTTAATTGTCCGGCTTCATTGTCCGGATACCATAATCCGACCGGGGGCATCCTCCCGTTATAGCCGGAGGTGTGTGTGTATGTGTGTATGTTTGTGCGGCAGTGTGTTTGTGGCGAGAAGTGGGTGGGGTAACGGGGAAGTTAACGGCGATGCAGTGCGCGAAGGAAGGCTTGGATGGAATGATGTCATCGGGAATCGCGAAGAGGGAAGCTGATTAGGAAGGCGCGAGCCCCCCATCCCCCCACACCTCCTCACCCCCCCTCTCTTCACACACCTCCTGTCCGGAACTATCCACGCCGAGCTTCTCGCGCCCCCCATAGAACGCCCACACCTTCCGTTACCGATTAATCCAAATTTATCCTATGAGGAGGAGGAGGTGGAGGAAGAGGAGGGTGGGAGATCATTGAATCATTGAGGGAAAAGCAAGCAAGCACCAAAATAGTCAAATTACAGATATAGTTTTGAATCTAAATTAAGAAGAAAATCTCCTTTTATAATATTCTCATAAAATCGGTGTTCAATAGTGAGTTTGGCTTTTAATCTATCTGATATCTATTATATTCATTTAGATTTATTTACCTTAATTCACGGTCAGATTAAGCTGTTAGACGAAATGTTGGGCACCTGATGATCCCACACCGCCCTCTGTGCAATGTTAATTTACCCATAAAGTCCAGTGCAACCAGTACTCCTTTGCTGGAATGATAATTAAAGATCCCCTCCAGACATGTTTTTTTGAGATGTGGCCTACTTCCCTTTGCTTTAAACTTTACTTCCTCAACAGCTTTAAGTTTGTGGTCATTTAATTGAACAGAACTTTAGTAATATGTAGCATATGAGAACACTATAAACTAAAATATTAAAATAGATTTTGACAAAAGACATTGCCACTAAATTACTTAAAAAGGCAGAACAGATCGTAGCCGGTATCGTATTTTAGTCATGCAACTTCCCTAACACAATGTAGGGCCCCTCGAGGTCTGTGGCCCGGGACAGTTGAATGCCTTGTCCTCCCTGATTCAGGCTTGCCTTTATCTCTTTGCTTTGACATGATATTTGTATTGTCAACATTTCTTTGTGCTGCTTCTGCTGTGATGCTGCACTGGTTCTGGCAGCACTACACTTAACACACACGTACGCACACACACACAACGATTATTACTGGGTCAGCCGGTTGCAATCTTTGCCAAAGATCCTTGGCCTCCAGCTGACCTAATCTGTCTTTAAGTGTACAGACGGAGACAGGTGTGACACGTGCACACACTTAAATATACTGTGTTAGGAGTGCACAGATGGATGCAGGTGTTGCTTGAATAGATACAAACACACACACACACATCAACAGTCTAATAATTGCAAGACTCACCTCGAGCAACCCAGGCCTTGAACACACGACCCACAATCACATTTTTTGATCTTTCTTTAGATGCCTCTTTTGCCTTTTAAACCATCTGATTCTTGTGTGTGTGTGTCTGTATGTTAGCTTCTGATGAGTGATCCCTGGTGTCGTGTCTCTGTGGGTATTTCCTGTTATCAGGCTTGTGACATCATATCCGGCTGACTATATTTTACATGGGAGACCGATTTTCCCACAGACATCTGTTGTGTCCCACGGATAGCCATTGTGTGTGTGTATGTGTGCGTGTGTGCGTGCATTCGTCTGCCTTCATGAGAGCTCTGACTGTCCATCTGTCTGTGTGTGGGCTCAAAAATAGTGAATCTCGGCTGCCAAAAACTTGTTCTCGCCAGCCCTTGCTCCTTGAAAAGTGTGTTTGAGAGAGCGTGTGTGGCGGAAAAGCGCTGTGTTCTTGAGGATCATGTTTAACTCATGGAATGAATCGGTGTTTTGTGCCTCTGATAGCTGACAAAGCCCCCCATAGAGAGATGAAGAAAGAGAGAACAAGCAAGAAAGAGGAAAAAATAGCCCAAGTGAGGCAGATTGAGGGAGAGTGTGGAATGTGAGAGGCAATTTGACACAGGAAGTGGGTCCTTCTCACTCTCCTGGAGGACAAAGTCCCCTCACACACACACACACACACACACACACACACACACACACACAGAAGCTGGCAGGTAAAAAAACACACTGGTGTGGAGGAGGAATTTCAGGTGTGTGTGTGAAAGGATGGGTGAGGGTATGGGCATCACCTTCCAGTGGATAGAGGAAATGAAAAGGATCACGGTTCATATCCGGAGCTGCATTCAGACGGCCGACGTCTGGAGGTCAGCATGGACAGAAAGAGAGAATAATGACGGCCTTCAGCGAGAAAAACATCTAGCCCTCTCTTTCCTCACCCCATCTCCTCCCTGTGGCTATTTATGTGTGTGCGTGTGTTGTTGGATGTGTACACATGCTGCTCACTCATATCTGAATGCAATTTCTTATCACATGGGAAGGACTGGCTTGGCAGATGTGCCGCATTTGACTGAAATTAGTTTTTCTTTCTCGTGGTCGGAAGGAATGGATTTTCCCATTTACTATTAGACTGATAACAGCATGTGGGGAGGGAGAAGCCTGCCTTCACAATACCTAAAATTTCAGTGTGTCCTCCCTCTGAGATGAAAGAACATAGCTCAGAATATGCCTGAAACTAAAATAATGAACTAAAAGCTCAGCCCTGTATAGAATACCGGTACTATCAATTTGAATGAGGATGAAATATAGGCTCGTCATTATTGGCCCCAAGAGAGCTCAAAAGACCTTGCAGCAATCTCTGGGACCTTTAACCTCTACCGTCAAACTGCATACAAATAATTTAGGTGTCACATTTGAGTGTAGTCTGGATTTTTCTTCAGTATTCTTAGAAATTAACTTGAGCGACCAGGCCTTTTCTAATCAAGCACAAAGGTAAAAACTGCAGTTTCCAGACTTTTTATAAAGTTATATCAATCTAGCAGATAAAATGTGTATTGGTAGAAATATTATCCTTTTTCAGTTCTAGTTTCCTCGCCTCAACCCACCAATCAGAGCTAGAGGTAGCCTGAGAGGCAACTGAAGCACTGTAATATATTTTAGACTACATTATTGTAATTCATTATATTCCTGCTTCAGCCATAAAGATTCAAAATCCTGAAGCCTGGTATCTCCAGTGTTGGCCCCTCTCCTTTGGCTACCAGTGGAGTTAAACATTCAATGTAATAATAGTTATTACCTACCAGGCATTAGTACATACTAGGGCTGTCCCCGACTAAGGATTTACAAAGTCGAATCAGAATTGTCAAGTCCTGCCTATAGTCGACTGATAGTCGAATCATGTGTGTTTTTGTGCGCGGCGATTGCCAGCCGGTGGTGAGGGGGGGGTGGGGGGGGTCTACACATGGTAGCTCCTCTTTAATCTTGAGAAGCTGCAGAGCTTCAGAGTCTCTATTCATTCAACTTACACTGAGGCTTAGTGTTGACCCTTTTCTCTCTCTATCTCGCCTGTCATTCACCGGTCTTGTGCAGAGTTTTGTGTGCATGCCATGCGGCCAACAGTTGCATGCATGTCGCGGTTCCTTGCGGGTCTATTTCAAGTATTTTAAAACGATAAAATATTCTTTGTGTGGTTCATCAATGGTGAAAAATTATCCGAAATTCCCGCGAGGTGTGGACAACGCGGCACAACACTGGTGAAGCTGGGGCTCCATCTCTACAGCAAGCGTTCCTCTTCTGCCACTACAGACATGCTACGCCTACACATGCGCACACAGGGTTAGGGTTACAATTTTGGATTTATTTACACACTTTAAAAACATTTATTGAAAGTTTTATTTTTTACATGCATATTTGCAGCATTAAATGTTGAAATGTATATTGGCTGTATATTAGGCTGTAGTATTAAAATCCATAATTGTATATTGTCGAAGGTAGAAGCTGTCTATATTAAAAGTACATACTATACCTCTTCTCTCAGCACTGGCCTATACAAAATACCTTGCTCAGCAAAAATAGGAAATAGGCTATTATCAAACTGTTAATTTCAACCAATATGAACATTACTTGAATAAATATTAGGCTTTTTTCGTGTTTCTTGTTTACCATACCGGAAAATCTGAATTGTTTCCTGTAAAATAATTGAGCTGTTGAATTGTGGAGAATGTAACTGATCTAACGATGTGTAGCATGTCCATACTGACAAAGGTTTTAACATTTATATTTTTATGTGCAGTTTAAGCAGCTGAGAAGTAGCTCAAGAGGGCGACCTGGTCAGTGTTAAGAGGTTTTATTCATCCAAAGAACTTCTATGAAAACCAGACCAGGCTTCCATTTGAGACCTGCGTTTATTTGTAAAAACGTGTAGCCACACCAGGCCAGTAAACAGTACAGGTGTTTAATTGGGACCAGGCTTTTATTTGAAGTTTTATGGTACATTACTTACTTGACTTAAATTAAGCAAGTTAAGTAACGTTACCTACGTAACTTACATAACATCACTAAAAGGAATCAATGTTGA